AAAAAAAAGCAACTTCAAAACCTTTGTGCTGTGTTTAATGGTAAATGGAAATGGTAAATTTAGTCACTACTGCATGTATATTTTAGTAATATATAAAACATGGTGCAAAGACAACCAATTTTCGTAACTGTAATCAAAGTACAAGCCTGAAGGTCATCTGACAGACTGACTGGCCATGGAAAATCTAAATTTAAATTATTACTATTTTCATCTCTTACAATACTTCTGTAACAAACCTTTCCCCAAAAAAACTTCATTTAACTGAGTTCAATATGGTCAATAAAGGTTATGGGAAAAAAAGCAAAGGACAGATCATCCAGCAGACAAAAAAGTGGAATGTCCCAATTGCCTGATACACAAGTTACCTAATATGACATAATGCAAGATTGTGAGTACTGTGTGATACCTGTGTGAGAACACAGTCCATGCGATCTCGGATTTCTTGCGACGGATTCCAAAGATCCTTTTCCTCCACCATAAGAGCATCCAACGTTGCTTTCTCGATAACAACTTCAAACGAATTCGGCGAAAAAGTCAGGTTTGTGATATCCATCACCCGCCACTCCATCTCAACCAAGTGTTTGTATTTTCGTTTCATGTTTTCGATAACCACTGGCGAGAAGTCTATATTTACAATATTTCTGTACCCGTCCTTGTACATTTGTTCGCTTAAGGCGCTGTTTCCGCAGCCCAACATCAAAATTCTATCACTGTTTCTCAGGTGTTTGTGAATTAACTCTTTGAAATCATCATAACTTTTGCACCACTCGAAGTTGTCTTCTTTCGTGTAGCGCTCGTCCCAATAATCTTGCAGTTTATAAGCTGCATTTTTGTGTGGTAGATCCATGAAATTTAGTAACTAAAACACGAAAACAGTCGTGTGAAAATCCTCTACCGTTATCCACTACAAGGCCGCCATCTTGTTTTGGCGTATTACCGCTGGATTTTCGTAGCTGGCTCAAGGACTCTCCTAACTAGTGCCGTGGCCCTAAGCATCCAACATGAGCGAGATATTTTATCAAAACGAGCAACACTGTTCGGGTCCGCAAATGATCCCAGGACCGCAAATGATCCCGGACCGCAAATGATCCCCAAATTGGATCGCAAA